TGTGTGTATGTAGGTGTGTCTGTGTGTAGGTGAGTGTGTGTGTGTGTGGTGTGTGTGTGTATGTAGGTGTGTGTGTGTGTAGGTGAGTGTGTGTGTGTGTGTAGGTGAGTGTGTGTGGTGTGTGTGTGTATGTAGGTGTGTCTGTGTGTAGGTGAGTGTGTGTGTGTGTGGTGTGTGTGTGTATGTAGGTGTGTGTGTGTGTAGGTGAGTGTGTGTGGTGTGTGTGTGTATGTAGGTGTGTCTGTGTGTATGTGTGTGTGTGTGTGTGTGGTGTGTGTGTGTATGTGGGTGTGTGTGTGTGTAGGTGAGTGTGTGTGGAGGTGTGTCTGTGTGTAGGTGAGTGTGTGTGTGTGTGGTGTGTGTGTGTATGTAGGTGTGTGTGTGTGTAGGTGAGTGTGTGTGTGTGTGTAGGTGAGTGTGTGTGGTGTGTGTGCGCGCAGGTGTGTGTGTGCTGCTTCATCTGGTGTGTCTTGTGTCGCCCCCTGCTGGTAGAGGGGGAGTACAGCCCCTGGGAGACGGAGCGCCGCTCGGGTCTGTGGCTCCTGTTAGAGGAGGAAGCAGGTAGAAACCCGACCAGAACCAGAACCAGAACCAGAACTCTCCAGTCTTTATTGATGGAGTTTCTGGTTCCATTCTGACATTATAACAGAAAATTGAACTTTTCTTTAGGTTTTTTTCTCACTTTAACCCATTTCCATATTCAATAATCAAGATGTACAAAAAATAAACTAAAAAAATAATACGTTGAAAAGAATGCATATGAAACCACTTGTTTGCTTCTTTTTTATTTAATAATAATAACAAACAACAATAACCACATTACCCATAATAATAATTATAAATACAATATGAATACACTTATTGTTATTGTAATTAGATCGTATTTTATTATTATTTTTATGTCATTTTTCCCCTTTTATTTTGAAATCCTCCAGCCTGTTACTTCCTGTAGCTTTGGGATGTTTTGGTCTGTGTATCTTTACTGTAGCGGATTTATAACTCCAGGTTCCCCCCTCGCCCCCAGAGTTTCCTCCTCCTGGCCCACCTGTGCAGCGAGGCTCCGCCCCCTCCCCTCTGACTCCGCCCACTGCCCCAACGCCCTCCACCGCTTCCTTTGCCACCTCATCTGACTCCACCCCTGACTCTGATATCGCCAACACTCCGCTCTCACCTGTGGTCGTCATGGAGACAGCAGCGCAGAAACGGCCCACAGCAGGGGGGCGGGGCTCGTTTGATGACATCACACCTGAGCTGCCCCAGAAGAAGCCGCTGCTCCAGCAAGAGGACCGGGGGGCGGAGCCAGAAGAGGAGGAGGAGTCAGGCGGAGTGAAGAGGCAGAGCCACAGGGATAGTCCGCCTCCCACCCTCCCTCTGCTTCCTGGAGGCGGAGCTCTCCTCCTCCACCTCAAGAAGCTCCGGGAGGCTCCGCCCCCAGGCCAGGTGGAGCTCGGTGGGGGCGGAGCCAGAGGCCTGTTGAAGGCAGTTCTACCTGGAAACAGAAAGGAACAGAAACGGAGGGGCGGGACTTTACCTGCAGAGAAGTCGAGGAGGCTCCCAACCAATCACAGCAGGGATACAGGTGATGATGCAATAAGAAAGGGTGACGTCACAGTGATGATGTAATGACACTACTTCCTGTGTTCCCAAGTCGCAGGGGAGGAGTCGACTCTGGAGTCTTCAACGCTTCTGCAGAGATGTTCGCTAAAACCCGGAAACAACGTGAGATCACCTGACACAACCCAGCCAATCAGAGACAAGATCACTGAATACATTAAAAATCAGCCAATCAGAGACAAGATCAGTAAACAACAAAAATCTGCCAATTTTAAGAGTTTATAACGTAATAGGAACAGGAAGTGGGCGGAGTCAAATCTCTGAGGGTCAGACTAATACCTGGATTAACACAGACCAGGGCCGTGCAGAGGCCACTAAAGGGGCAGGTGCTCAAAAAAAAGGGGCCCATCTAACCTCCTTCTAGGACAGAATATTAAAGCCACTCAGCTTTCAGAGTTTAATAAACAATGATAAATTACAAAATTGTGAGATATACAATCAAAGCGAACGAAAATCTCTATA